AACACTATAAGTACCATTTTAAAAAAAATTATGGAGCAACCTACGTATTGGTGTCTATCATTTTAGGTCCAAATTTTGAATTTTCCACTGAAACACATGAAGAATTGTTGTATAACAAAGAAAAACTCCTGTGCAATGGTAATAACAAATGCAATTGTTAAATTCAATTGATGCAATAACCAAATGATAATATATTTTTTTCATTCTAATTCGCTAGGAGATAAATGGGAATCCGAAATTGCTGCAAATATCTATGCTGATCACTTGTACCGCTAAATAGTGATAAAAACGTCTCGTATCCAGAGCCAATAAAATTCAATAAATATTAGAATGTTTTGAATATTTCTTCAAGTTGTTTCTCTATTATCTTTTTTTAATTAAAAACCTTACTCACCTACGGGCCACACAATTTGTAGCTACGCTAACTAATCGTTATAATATTTATTGTTATTAATATTTGTTTTATCTAATAATAATTTATGGATTCAATGCCGGTTATACCTAGAGTTGATCAGAAGAAAAGAATGGAAAAAATGGAAATTAATCAATATGTAATGGAACAGAATGGAAAATGAATCAAAGGAATGGATCAGGAATTGTAGAGTAATGGAATAGTAATTTTCAAGTAAGTATGCCTTGGGTTATACGCTTTTTTTAGCATAATGCATTTTGCAGCAACAATATCGCGGTGCCAAACAATTGTCTGTGAAGCAGTTGCATTTCGAAAGTTCAAAATAATAATTCTACACATAAAGGAAAATAAATGCAATAAATGAGATATAAAAATGATCTTCTGTAGAGTTTTGAATCAAATTACGTAAATCTCTTTTCAAATGAATTGTTTATTTTTTTATTTGAGCTTGAATGTACAAATGAATCGTTAGATTCTCAATTTGAAACTTGATCCGTTCCATTTGACACGAAATTGACAACAAAAATGGTTCAAAATGTTACATTTTCCAATGTTATAATGTACTAAAAACATTACAATTTTTTTTTCAAACTATATAAAATTACACGACTTTGGGTGTGTTTTATATCTATTTCGGATCATGGGGCAGCTTGAATCCAACCTAAAAATTGAAATAAATTGATTTAAATTAGAAGATAATTTTATTTTGCTCATTACAATTTTAAGCTTACCATATCAGCCGTTTCTTTGATGCTTCGTTCTCCTTTTCCTTTATATTCTTTTTGAATTTCGGCGTATTTTCTCAAACTACGCAAGTAACATAAATAGGTTTCGCCTTCAGAAGAAAAAATATTGACCATTTTTAATACATACAAAGAGTTACATATATACATACCAAGGAATCGCATCTCTTCTCTGGCTTTACAAAGTGTTTGATCGGTTGTTTGATGTACTTGGAACTGGTTGGTGATGTACTTAAAAGCCAATGAATCCTTGCTCAAACGACCACTTGGGCTGCATAAACGTAATTCATTCAACAGAGATTTGTATAATTGTGAGCCAGCCATTGTTATATCGTCAACTTTTCAATTAAATCAATTGTAATTAATTCCAAATTATCTGATCCGTATACTGGTTCTTTATTTTCTGAACTCCAAAATGTCTCCTCCAAACTCTCAACAACGGAAAAATGGTGTAAAGAGGTATCGTTGAAAATGTCGTTAAATTTGTAATTATTCTCCAACTTAATTTCTTCACAATTCGGCTGAAGTTTTACAATGAATCCAGCATCGATGGATAAAAAACGACTCGGTGATGAATTTAATAGGTTTGAAAAACTATTTCCGATATAAATTAATTGTTTCAATGCAGCCTCGTTCCAATTTTTCCACAGCAGATTATTTATTAGTTGTTTTGGACAATGTGGAGCATAAACCAAAGTCACATTCGTGATTTCAATTTTCCCCTCAACGTTTTTTTCGGCAATGGTACAATTCAATTTTTTCAAAATATTCACTTCAGATCTGAATAGAATTGGCTCATGGAAAATTATTGAAGTAAAATTAAATAGCTCTTTGATGGACAAAACGAACGCCAATTGATGTCGAGATATCAAACATTCAGTAAAATGACCAATTCCAATACAAATTAAGTCTTTTTCGTTGCATTCAAATCTCTTCAATACAGTCCGAAGCTTATTAACAGTGTTTTCGTAATAGCTGGACAAATGCAAATCACTTTGAGCCTCGTATAATCGTCTGAAAATTTTAAAGTATATATTTTCAGTGAGCTGCTATGGTCAGAACTTGAAATGGACTGAAAACAATAGAAGTGATTGTAAGAAGTTTTTTGTTAGAATGGAAGTGTTTGTATAACTATAAAATCACTTCTATTGTTTTCGCTACATTTCATCGCCTGACGTCAGTTCCCTGAGCTGATTTATCTGGCTGAAAATATCTCAATATATAATGTCTGGTATATATACTGTCTCTATTGATTTTTGAATGAAATCAATTATTACTCACTTAATGATCAACTCTTCATCAACAATATCTTCACCACTTGTTTTGGATATATGTATCTTATTTGCACACTTTTTCTTGTTTTTGCGTTGTGATGTAACCAGCGTAAACGAATGTTCCGTTATGTTTGAATCATTTGTCATACTAAATGGCGCATATGTTTTCAATGAAATACCAAAAGAAAATTTAATTCACCTATGAACACGATGTATTATATGTCTCGTCGTTGACAGTTTTGCGCTGTGAAAATTATGAACATAACCTTAAATGTGTGAAATGTCAAAAGTGAAATTTAATTGGATTGGAATTAGTACTGAGACTGAGTGTTGAAAATTTATTAATGGATTTTTATTATAAATTGACTTAAAAGCTAAACATTATTAGTCTTTATATATATTATTTCATCTTCGTGAAAATAGAATTGATTTCGATATTTACTGGCCAAAGCCACCCAATGAATGCTCCATGAATCGTTTTTTGGCAAAACAAGTCCACCATTTGCTCGGTTTTCCATCGGTTGTATTGAAAACCTTCTCAATCAATCGGTTTCCAGTCTCTTGACGAATCTGAGTCAAATATTGACGCAATGAATCTAAATAAAATTCAAAATTATTATTTGCACGCATACCATTAGTATAATGTGAAAATATTATATACCAGCTTCATTTGGTGATGATGGTTTTGAAAAGACTGAATTTAATGGAAATCCAGCGTCACCCGGAATATCGAAACGACTTATAGCCAATGAATACAACTCCTGTTGAGATTGACTTTTGTTGACACATTTTTGAAGCTTCTTCAAACACTCCGTAATATATAACGTGATGTAAATGAGCACACGATCAATTCCATTCTATAAAAGAGAACATTTTTGCATTAAATTCAATGTTATTGCTTTTCATATATACATATAAACACATATGCAAAGTAGTTTGATAGGAAAAAGTCTTACCTTGATTTCATAGGTGCGGAAAAAAATGTTAGCTTTGAAATAGTAAATTGTTTCATCGATAATGTCTTCGGCATTAGTGATAGGTGCAGGACCCCGGGTTTGTGTACGAATGGGCAACAGTGCAAAACTGCACAATTGATCGTCAACTTTTGAAATTTGAGAGTGATACGCCTATAAATACCAAAAAACATATAATTTAAAAGAGTATCTTTTCCATATATTCCATTTTTTTATTTATCACAATTTCTTTTTTATTTTTGGAATGAATCATTCATCCAAATCGATGACACACCCCAGTTGGTCTATTTTATGTTCGAATATATGTTACACTCTACTTACAGGCATTATTCTTCTTAGCCAATCAATTAATATTTCTTGCAACGAATAATTTCAACTTTGTAAATTATAAATTTACTTTTTATATTTGTATAATAATTTTAGAATGAAAACAAATCGATAAGAAATTGCACCAATGACAGTTTCTGTAAACTCAAGTTTGCCAATAAAACAAAAATGAAAATGTTTAAAGAAATCTTTTTTTTTGCCCCAAACTATTGACTCTGTTAAACAACTTTGAAACTAAGATATTTTCCAGGACATACTTCAAACTGATTGATTTTACATTTAATTGAATGTTTATTTTTTTTTATTGTATAAAGAAGAAGTTCTGAAGAGCTAGCAACAAAGTTATCAATATTCTGCAAGTAAAGTTCAGCCTTTGCACAGTGATACCAACAAATGTCAAAAATGCAAACAAACAAGCACACACACATACACAGAGATACAATGAAAACACCGAAAAAAATCTTCATACGTACAAATGAATTTGCAGTCAAACAAAAGACCAAATAAACTTTTTCGGCATTGATGTGTTAGCAGGAAAAAAAATTGTTGACAGTATACTTGGTAATAAAAAAAATCACGATTTAGATTATTTCACAAATTATTGTTATTGAAATAGTATCAAATCAAAGTGTAAAACTCTGTGAAAATGAGCAAGATGTCAGGTATACTTACTTTAAAAATTACTATTCCATTATTGAAGAATGCTATCCATTCTTTCGATTATTTTTCCATTACATCCATTGCGTTCCATTACATATTGATAAATTTCCATTCTTTTCTTTGTGATAAACCCTAGGCAAGATGTCAAAGAATAAATTGAATTTAACATTGCCACCTGGTTCGGTGGATACATCTAATCCACCGAATGTTCCAACCCCACCATTCAAAACACCATCTGGTACAGAGTAAGTTACGAAATATTCTTCCATCGTCATTCAAACTAAGCCGAATATTTTCTATTTAATCTTTATTTTATTTCATCTCACTTATACAGTCGTTCGAACTTATTGAATCAACCTAAAAACAGCATTGATACAATAACACAAACACTTGAAGAGTTGGATGTTGACGAGCCTGCTTTAAACCGTATTAAAATCTTTTTAAGTCAAAAAGAGCAAATGGGTGAAATTCGTGATGAAGATTTGGAAAAACTTGGCGAACTTGGTTCTGGAAATGGTGGTGTTGTGATGAAAGTACGCCACATTCCCACGCAATTGATTATGGCACGGAAAATGATTCATTTAGAATTGAAACCGCCAGTTAAGAAGCAAATTATCCGCGAATTAAAGGTGCTGCATGACTGCAATTTTCCGCACATTGTTGGTTTTTACCGTGCTTTTCAAACCGATGGTGAAATTAGCATTTGCATGGAGTACATGGATGGCGGTTCATTGGATTTGATTTTAAAGCGAGCTGGTCGTATTCCCGAACCAATTCTTGGAAAAATTACACTCGCTGTGCTCAAAGGATTGAGCTATTTACGCGATAAACATGCAATCATGCATCGAGATGTTAAACCAAGCAACATATTGGTAAATAGCAACGGTGAAATCAAAATTTGCGATTTTGGCGTATCCGGACAATTGATTGACTCCATGGCAAATTCGTTTGTTGGCACACGAAGCTATATGTCGGTAAGTTATAATTACACAGCACAAAATGAATTCAAAAATCGATTCTTTTGTTAAATTTTTATTTGTTTCATTTGTAGCCAGAGCGTCTTAATGGTGATCACTATTCGGTGCAGTCTGATATATGGTCATTGGGTTTGTCACTTATTGAAATGGCGATTGGTGTGTATCCAATACCTCCACCTGATCCAAAATTCATAGATCAAATACTCAATGAGCATTCGAACCAACCACCGCCTGAACCAAAAATGATGGCCATTTTTGATTTGCTAGAATGTATCATTAATCAACCACCTCCACGACTCGAACACAAAAGTTTTAGCGCCGAGTTCACAGATTTTGTTGATAAATGCTTGAAGAAAGATCCGAATGAACGTGCCGATTTAAAAACACTTTTGGTGCGGATACATATTTTTTTACTTAATTTAATAATGAATGAACAAAATTTAAAAACAATGCATTTTTTCTTGTATAGGAACATCCGTGGATTGAAAAGTATGAAAACGAACATGTTGATGTTGCTGGATGGGTTTGCAGTACAATGAATTTACCGCCATCAACCCCAAACTAGATTAGTGAATGAACAATAGCTTTATCATTTTGTGTAATTGTATTTTATCTTTCTTGTTTTCATTTGAATGCTTTAAGTGTGTTATAAATTATCTAAAGAAAAAAGAAGGAAATCAATTAGGATGTTATATATACAATTATATATCAAACACAAGTGGAAAACTCATTTTGAATGCCATCACATATTAGCCGTCAATTCATTCTTCTATAGCAGCAAGTATAAAAAAAGATACTCAAAGTATTTATACCGAAAAACGTATTCTCCCGTCTCTTTTGATAATATTTTGCTCGATGTGACAGCGGAATATTCAAATAATAATCATATTTTAACTGGATTTAATCAAATAACATTTGTGATTTCAGATATGTAAAAAAATAAGATAAACACAAAACAAAATATTTCCAGGCAAACAAAAAAGAAATAATGTATGTATTTCATTGTATATGAATATGAAAGACAGTAATATAAATAAAACGTCGAAAATGTGAGTAATTTTAATCATGATAAACTAATTTCTGTGTTTTATTCATTCATTTTTTTGTTATTTTTACATGTTCCTAACAGTAATTTTGAAAATATTGGATTTTTTCGAATTCTTTCTAGTATAAAATCCGATCTGCATATATTGATTAATTGATTAGATTGTTCAGGTGCATTTGGTTGCACTACATTTGTATTCTTTAAGATTTCAACTTTTTCTCTGTTTTTTTTTTTTGACATTTAAAAATGTCATAAATTCATAGTTTTTATTTTAGATTCTCCAATAAAATGGAGGTATAGTGCAAATAGTTCAGAAGTTTAATTAAATATGTTATTAAATGATTGACACTATCATTAATTATATAAGAGTGTGTATACAAATGCGTTATTTGTAACATGGTTTCCAATAGATTTGATGCTTACAAAATTACATTCGCATCCAATGGACATGCGTTTGATTTCCAAATATGCTTCTTCTTTCAGATAAATTGTTAAATTTTTTGCGGTGCTAAAGTTTTTTTTTCGTATTCGGTTCAGTTCAAAGAGGTTCAATTTGTTTGCGTGTTTCATGGCCGTTGTATTATCAATGTAAATCTTTGAAATAGTTGGTGTATAACGAATGAATGGTACAATAAAGTCAAGCCAAGTAACAGTAAGATAAGCTTCTTCTACGTTGATCAATCCTTTCGATAGTTGTATAGCCTCTCGTTGTGAACTTATTTCTCTCTCGATAATTTTCAAATGTGGAAATGATGTTAAAATTTTTTCGATTCTTATTCCTTTTGTGCAAATGCCTACCAAGTTGATTAAATTAGGTAGCATTGCAGTGTTCATGGCAGCTAACTCTCCAATCAAATAGAATGATTTGATTGCTTCTTGATGACATAATTCTGTTAGTTGATTACAAATTAGTTCCACATTTTGTGCGTTGTTGACTTTAACAATTAAGTTATCCATTTTTACATTATTGTCTCGAATGAATGGCAAATTTTCGGCGGCGACGTACAAACTTTTCAAATTTGGATTTCTTTCAAATAGTACCTTTAATTCGCCTGGTATCGATGGTGTCTGTTTCCCGAGATAGTCCCAGTACAAGTACTTTAGCTCCGAGTATTCTTGCAATAGCCAATCGTTTTTGTTGCCATGTAAGGTGCATTCAGTTAGAGACTTTAACACTAAATACTTCATATTCGAACAGTGCTTTAGGGTTTCGTATAATCCACCGGCTAATGAGCTATGGTTTATCTTGATGATTTCGGCAGTTTTAATAATACCATCAATGCACGAAATATGCGTTTCGGTTAAATTGTTTGCTCGAAAAATTCCGACTCGTTTCATTTGAATGCCTTTGAACTTGTTTGCTGTGTATTCAAAAACATTGATGTCATCGCCATAAATCATGATATTTCGAAAATTCTTCTTAAAGCGCCGTACGTACGTCTTTTTTGGACGTAACTGTATTTTACCTGAGGGGAGAATCACAAAAGAAAAGAATACAATTAATTTAAAAAAATCGAAAAAGAATCAATAAGATTTAATTAAGTGCAACTGTATTTTACCATTTGACGAACTTATTAATATTTGATGAACTGGATACCTACGACGAAAATAACTACTGGAAATTCGCTGCAGTCGTCTACATGTCATTCCTAATGCGACCAATGATTTTAACGGTAACCATTCGCAAATTTCGTCGATACAATAATCATTCAACGCCAAAAATTTAATTGCATGCTTTTTCTTTTTCCTAACTATCTTAGGTAGTGGCGATGGTGAATGCTTTGTTTTCATGGACAATCTCAATGACCGCCGCACCGGCTTAGCCCCAGTTGTCTTCATTTTTCTTTAGACAAAAATAAAATAGACATGAGAATTTTTATCCACATGTAAGCCGTAACAATGTGAGCATTTAATATAACCGCATTTAAAAACTTACCGCAATCTATTTATAACAGATTCTTTATATTTAATTTTTTACTTGCAATTTTGATGATCACAATTTGATTATTGACTCAAATTTTTTAAAGACCACATGAAATTAGATTTTTTGGTCAAACTTTCCAAACGTATATTACAAAATTGGTCCAGTAAGAAATGATTAATTGCGTGCTTTGCATTACGATTAACTAATTTGACATTATTGACAGTACCGAGTGAAGTTGACGTTTTTATGAAATATACCTGTATAATAGAGTGTTTCCCATATCTATAAATAAAAAAATGGTATGTTTCAATTTAAAGAGCATAAAATTCTGTTTTAAATCGTAGCATTAATGTAAAGCACCGATTGATATTGACACTTCCCGAAGCAAAAAACTCTTTAAAGCAAAAATTGTCTAATGTCTAAATATTGAATTAGTATTATTGATGTGAACCGAGCCTTATGACATTTGATGATCATTTCATTGTTTTTCGAAATGTCATAAACGCCGCTTCATTCATACCGAGAACACGTTTGGCGTTGTAAATACCAAGTCAACAAATCAATATTACATTTTATTACGATATAAACTACAGCAGTGTAAATTCCAATTCAACGCTTCAATTGCTCTACGGTTTTGCTGATAATTCATATTATTTTCGATACACGTGCGTTTTGTATCGATTTGATCCGAATTTTTCAATACTTGATCAATCGAATCTGGAGTTCAGACAGATTGTTGAATTCAAGTCACCAGTGTGAGTCACCTCTACTTCTTATTGTGAAATTCATTTTTATTTCATAGCACGTAATATAAGCCATTTATAATGTGAAATATATTTAAGTAGTCTTATAATTATTTAACGTTGGAAATATCATTTTATGAAAAATAAAATGTCTTACATCCGTAAGATGAACTTTTCCGCACCGTGATCCACAACATGCATTTATTACAAATCTTTTACTCAAAGAATTCACGAGAAAACTGAATCTGAAATTAGTTTTACGATACAAATAATTTTCGAAGCACTTTTCATACAAAAACTACTAAAAATGGGAATTTTTGTATCGCAGCCATGCCTATATGATATCGTAATCATGTGAAAATTTGCAGAGGTTATTTTTTTCACAAAAAGTTAACATTTTAAAAGTTTGAAGAAATTTCAATGCATATTAAGGGTACTTCCCATACAACATTTCGTTTTTGAGCGAAAAATCCAAAATTTTGTTCGAGTGGTACCCCTAATATGCGTTGAAATGTCTTCAAGCTCTCGAAATGGTATTTTTGTATGATAAAAATAACCTGTGCAAAGTTTCAGCTCATTACGATATCATACAGACATGGATTTCATACATAAATTCAATTTTTTTTAAATTTTTGTATGAAAAGTGTGTCGAAAGTTATTTGTATCGCAAAAATAACGTCATATTCGATTTTCTCGTACCCAAAAACCCCCCAATACACATTTCTGAGTGTTTAAGAATACATTAAATATCACTTTTGGAAGAAAAATTGAATTTTTCCCATGGATGGCCATGGGCATCACACCAGACATGACACTTTACTCTGTCAACCAAAGTCGCTCAAAATCTAATGGTTTCTATTCCTCGGCACCCCCAATCATCCTGTGAAGCCAGATTTTGAATTACTTTTCTTGTTTGAAAGTTATCGTGTTAACAAATTTTTGCGTACAGCGTACAGCGTACAGCGTACAGCGTACAGCGTACCACGCACATACATTCGGACATCGAAAAAACGCTAGATTCGTGTTTTCCCACTCCTAAAACACCCAGAAAACATGTTTTTTGAGGGTGTTAATTTTTCGACCGATTCCAATACTTTACCTTACACACTAGGTGTGTGCGGAAAAGTAAAATAATGAATTTCACAATTATTCTGCAGTGCATAATTCTGTTGCGTGAGGTGATGAAATTAATTTCAAGCGGTGATACCAATTTTGAATTGGTTCCATTGTTCAGAGAAGAGAAACAGTTAATAGCTTATTGTTTGAGCTCAAATTGAATCCGACCCTCTATTACAGTCGGCTTTCAAGGCGATCGGATTTTGCGAGCGCCATCTCTGAGTCCCAATGCAAACCAAAGGGAAACTTTACACACTTGGGTATTCGTTTATAGTATATTTGTCAAACATTGATATCTGTCAAAAGAAACAACGTAAACAACACGAAGTGAATATTTTTCTGGTGAACTATCGGTATTATTGTGATTATTGCAAATAAAAAATTAAGCACAAACAAATGCTCGACGATCCAAACTTTCGGCCATTCATCCGGAATTTAGTTGTGGTGCCGATGTGTGATTTTCGCCGAAAGCACTTCAAAATTGACTGTTCGAGTATGCACCGGGTGTTGTCTTCGCAAAAATTGCTACCGAAAGTGGAAGTTGAGAATAAAAATGGTAAAACCAGCATAATAAATATTCCACAAAAGGATTTTAACGATGCGAGTGATCATTGGTGGAATCAGTATTTCTACATGCGGAAAATTTGGCGATTCGTGCGCGGAAAAAATAAGTTTGACTTTTCCATAAACACCGATGGAATCGCTGTGTCTCTGCAGTACTCGGCCAAGAAGAAGACAAATAACGAAGAAATCGACCGTTCTCGTCGCATCGTTCAAATGATTATGGATGGCAAATTCAAAAATTGACACAGGCGTTGGAATACCACAGTAACACACAACATTAAAAGTGGAAAAGAAGTAAGTTTTGTATACATTTAATATGTTGAATGTGTTTCAATGGAAAATACACTGCGTAAGTGCCAAAATTCATTTTTTTTTTGTTTTCAGACCAACTTTGTAATGTCGAGCAAGCAGTTCCACTGGCAGACTGGTCAAAATGTGCGAAATGCCAAAGCAAAGCGTTGGACCAAAAAATTCGTCCAAGAGGAGCGCCGAGACAGAGAAAACCGTGGAATTTACCCAGTGATGCCATCGCCAAAAGGGTCACAGTGGCTGAACTATGTAAAGCACCGAGTCAAGATGATGAAGCATGGAATCTGCGCTTACTCGACTGCCAAGTACACTCGACTCGCCTTGGAAAAACACATCAAAAGCAGTAGTATCGATAAGCCACCGACTTTGTTTTTTTTTGTGCTGATGGCGAAATACCACTTGACAGCCCAATAAGTATCAAAAAGCACGTGCGCTGTCCAGGAGTTCGTAAGACTTTGAGGTCAATAAAGAAGCGCCGAAATTGTGTCATAGATCTGGTGGACGAATGGGGAACATCTCAAACAGACGCAAGATGTATGTGCCGATTCCAAAACTAGAACAAAGCGGCCAGATTCAAGAGATGCCGGTGCATACCCGACGCCAGAACATTGCTGCCAACAAAAATTGTGTCAAAGTTGGGCAAGACGGATTTATCGGTATTCCGACAGTTGCAACGCGCCATGAACGAAGCAT